CAAGAATGACATTAGCTTGAGGCCTTGTGATCTTAATGTCACGACAAAGTATTACCACGTCGGAAACAACGTAATAAAACTGACGTAGTTCCTTGGCGAATAGACAATAAAGTGGCCACCTTTGTTCCTCTAACGAGGTCTCTCGCCGGTCAAAACAGATAAAAACTTGACCAACCGACGTTTACAAAGAGATAAATACCGACATCTGAAGGCGGTGACAGCTCAGCCCTTCATCATGATCGTCGTCCAAGTGGCGAACGACCAATATAGGTGCCATGCGACCGCTTTGACTTAACTCCCGCATTAAATGCGATCACACCTACCTCGTACGGTGGGCCACCGTGCTATAAATAGCGGGTTGGACCCTCAGAAAGCAGACCTTTTTTTGACTCAAGAATATTGTGATACGAGATTGAATGATTATTATGAACACTCTATAAAATCCAACGTCGTCCTTACATCCAACCGACTTCATTTTTGTTCTTTACATGTCATATCGCACGTTGATTATATAACAAATCCAGTATAATATCGTTGTTAATTCCCATACGACAACAATATCCAACTCAACCAAACTGGTCGGAGTTGGAGGGATAGCGCCAGATCCGCCCGCTGAGGTCGAGCCCGACGCTTTCTTCAACGGCTTCATGAGGAAGGACATCCTGCTCGCCATTTTCTTCCTTTCTTTCAGCGAATTGGGGTTGGCGTGCGCGTGCTTGTTGGCCTCCTTCACAGAGCGAAGTCCGCACACCCGATGCAGTGGATAATAAACTGGCGAAGCAAAGGCAGGCATAAGTGTCGGGCTCGAAAACAGATACCAAGTAATGAAAAAGCGAGCATACATGGGGTAAAGTAGCCGCTCTTAGACTCAGAAAACAGCCCGTGCGTAAGTAGACTCTCTTCCAAAATGAGGTCTCGATAGGATCTCTCGTCCGCGTCGAGTGCTAACAAAGTGCCGACCTTCTCAGCGAGATCATCACCGATGTCAACGCGCGGGTTATGGACTGAAATAGAACTATCGACCTGTTAGCATAGGGAAAAAACACATAATTAGAATAAATCAAAAAATAGTAAAGGATGCATAGGGGCCCGAAATGAAGCCTGTGAACAGG